GGCTATGTCACTGGTAAGGAAGAGGTGGCTATGTCACTTGGCTATATCACTGGTGAGGACGAGGTGGCTATGTCACTGGTAAGGACGAGGTGGCTATGTCACTGGTAAGGAAGAGGTGGCTTTGTCACTTGGCTATGTCACTGGTAAGGAAGAGGGGGCTATGCCACTTGGCTATGTCACGGGTAAGGAAGAGGTGGATATGTCACTGGTAAGGAAGAGGTGGCTTTGTCACTTGGCTATGTCACTGGTAAGGACGAGGTGGCTATGTCACTGGTAAGGAAGAGGTGGCTTTGTCACTTGGCTATGTCACTGGTAAGGAAGAGGTGGCTATGCCCCTTGGCTATATCACGGGTAGGGAAGAGGGGGATATGTCACTGGTAAGGAAGAGGTGTCTTTGTCACTTGGCTATGTCACTGGTAAGGACGAGGTGGTTATGTCACTTGTAAGGACGAGGTGGCTATGTCACTGGTAAGGACGAGTAGGCTATGTCACTGGTCAGGAAGGGGTGGCTATGTCACTTGGCTATGTCACTGGTAAGGACGAGGTGGTTATGTCACTTGGCTATGCTGGTAAGGAAGAGGTGGCTCTGCCACTTGGATATGTTACTGGTAAGGACGAGTAGGATATGTCACTGGTCAGGAAGGGCTGGCTATGTCACTTGAAAGGAAGAGGTGACTATGTCACTGGTCAGGAAGGGCTGGCTATGTCACTTGGTGGATATGTCACTGGTCAGGAAGGGCTGGCTATGTCACTTGAAAGGAAGAGGTGACTATGTCACTGGTTAGGAGGAGATGGCTATGCCACTTGGATATGTCACGTGGCTATGTCACTGGTAAGGACGAGGTGGCTATGTCACTGGTCAGAAAGGGGTGTCTATGTCACTGGTAAGGAAGTGGTGGTTATGTCACTTGGCTATGTCACTTGGCTATGTCACTGGTAAGGACGAGGTGGCTATGTCACTGGTAAGGAAGAGGTGGCTCTGCCACTTGGATATGTTACTGGTAAGGACGAGGTGGCTATGTCACTGGTCAGAAAGGGGTGTCTATGTCACTGGTAAGGAAGAGGTGGTTATGTCACTGAAAAGGAGTAAGGACGAGGTGGCTATGTCACTGGTAAGGAAGAGGGGGCTATGTCTTTGGTAGGGAAGAGGTGGCTATATCACTGGTAAGGACGATGTGGCTACGTCACTGGTAAGGAAGGGGTGTATATGTCACTGGTAAGGACGATGTGGGTATGTCACTGGTAAGGAAGAGGTGGCTACGTCACTGGTAAGGAAGGGGTGGCTATGTCACTGGTAAGGAAGAGGTGGCAACGTCACTGGTAAGGAAGGGGTGTATATGTCTTTGGTAAGGAAGAGGTGGATATGTCACTGGTAAGGAAGAGGTGGCTATGTCACTTGGCTATGTCACTTGGCTATGTCACTGGTAAGGACGAGGTGGCTATGTCACTGGTAAGGAAGCGGTGGCTATGTCACTTGGCTATGTCACTGGTAAGGACGAGGTGGCTATATCACTGGTAAGGAAGAGGTGGCTATGCCACTTGGCTATGTCACTGGTAAGGAAGAGGTGGCTATGTCACTGGTAAGGACGAGGTGGATATGTCACTGGTGAAGGAAGAGGTGGATATGTCACTGGTAAGGAAGAGGTGGATATGTCACTAGTAAGGAAGAGGTGGCTATGTCACTTGGCTATGTCACTGGTAAGGACGAGGTGGATATATCACTGGTAAGGA